ATTTCCAAGTGAGGAATTGAAGAAATAAGACAGAGATATATTTAGGAAGCCTACAAATTCTGGTTTTTCTCTAATGTATGTTTTCATAGTAAGGGTTATGAAATCACATTAAGTTCCCATTCAACAGATTTATATTCATATAACACAAAAATGACGAGGCTAAGGAATATTTTTGCTCAGTGCATTTATCCACTATGAGTAGTTGACAATTATTCTATTATCAATCATAGATTTAATGTATGGAAACAGTTATCTGTAGGAAACTTCAACTACCAGTCCTTCATCGCCTTAACGAAATAGGACGAATAGGGCATTTACATCGAACAAAGAAGTTGGTTCATGGCTTGTTGCAATAAAATATACATATAAGATTTAAGTCTTCAAAATGCTCATCTCAATTGTTCCCTCTAAATTACTATGCATGATCGACTTTTTAAGAATACTTAGAATACCAAAGATTCGGATTTTTGTCATTCTATTTCAAATTGCTGCACTTTTCATGTCAACGTAAGATGTCATTATCATGCTAGTGTTCAATACTACAAGATGAGGACCGTCGTGATTAAATTATATTAATTTACAATATTTTATGATATAATTATTTTTCTTTATAAAATATTGAACTCGGGATTGCTCGGCTCTTTCTTGTTCTAGATGTCGACAAATATAAATTGTTTTAGACAATTACTTGGAACATTGTTATATCTAGATATGATGAAACTGTTAATTTTGTATTTTGAGTATTCAAACTGGCTATAATATCAGATATTATCTAGACATTTACTTCTGCATTCCATAATAAATTTCACTTGTTTTTAGCTGCGCAAGCGCCTATCTTATACATAAAATCTTCGCTTCTTTCCCTGATTATAGATGTAAAACTTGTGGCCACATCTAATAAATGATTTAGTTTAAAATAAGTTTTGCTGTCATATATTTTAGTTGGAAACATTTTTACGATTTCTCATACAGCTGTTAGTTGGTTTTACCTTGCTTTCTATTTCAAACAGATTCTTCAGGACATCTCGGATACCGTGGTAGCGATGCACATTCAAGGTGGAGCCCACCATCTGGACTTAAGGTATATTGTAATATCATATTTAAAGCTCTTCTTTTCAAAGAACCTTTTATATACTTGCGACAATAGTCACTAGATCATTAAGCTCGTTGTAAACTCATATACAGGTACGATAGTGCCATTGTTCTATGTATACATAGTTCATGCCACGAAACATAGCTCTACCTA